CCGTCTCAGCCTCCCAAAGTGCTGGGATTACAGGCGTGAGCCACTGCGCCCAGCCAATTTCTACTTTAAATGTTTGACAGAATTTAGCAGTGAGGCGATCTGAATGAACCTAGTTTTCTTTTTGGAAAGGTTTTAAAAGGCAAATTCAACTTCTTTAATACACATGACTACGTAGATTTTCCTAACTCGTTTCAGTTTTGTGTCTTCCAGAGACATTTTTCCACGTCATCCAAGTTGTTTACTGACAGTCAGTTGTTTACACTATTACTCGGCTACCTACTGAATGGCTACGGGGGCTCTACGATGACCATTCTTTCACTCCTATTTGTTTTTGTTTGTTCTATGACGCCAGAGACTTATCAATTTTACCAGTTTAGATTTTTGTTTCATTTTTATTATTACTTTCCATTTCATTGTTTCCTGCTCTTTAAGATTTTCTTTCTTCTGCTCATCAGTTTAGTCTGCTCTTCATTTTCAAGTATAAGAACTCTAATGGCTCAATTTAACCTTTCTTCTTTTAGAGTTAAGCATTTAAAATCATATATGAATATTTCTCTTTTGACATGACTATAGCTTCATACCACAGACTTTTGATGTCCTTTCATTTTTCTTCAGTTTAAAATAATTTATAGTGTTTCTTGTGGTCACACACATTCTCCAAGTGATTTCAACCCTTTTCTGCTTACTGAGGCTTTTTAATAGTTGACCATGCAGTATCTTTGATGAATATTTCATGAGAACTTGAAAACAATGTATAGTCTGCAGTTGTTTAGTGCAGTGCTCTACATGTCACTTGGGTCACACTGGTACTATTGAGACGAAGTTTCTCTCTTGTTGCCCAGGCTAGAGTGCAATGGCATGATCTTGGCTCACGGCAACCTCTGCCTCCCAGCTCCAAGCGATTCTCCTGCCTCAGCCTCCCAAAGTGCTGGGACTGCCGGTATGAGCCACCACAATCGGCCTGGTAGTATTATCAAAATAGTCTATTTTCAATATAACTAAGAAAGAAATATTTAAAATTTCTGATATAGGTTTATCCCTCCTATCAGATTTTGCATCATGTGTTTCCAAACTGTTATCAGGTGAATACACATTTAGAATGATGCTTTTTTGAAGTGACTGATCCCTTTAATGTTAGATATATACGTATTTCGCTATCTCTGGAAATACCCCAATAGTAGACCTGAAGCCTGCTTTTTTGTGTGTGTGTTAATGTAGCCACTTCAGCTTTATGGCCGAGGTATGCATAAATTTCCATTCTTCTATTTTTTATTACTTTTGTGTCACCCAGGCTGGAGTGCCGTGGCACGATCTTAGCTTACTGCAACCTCCACCTCCCAGACTTTTCTGATAAGTCAATTAAGAATAAGAGAAGATTTTATTTTACCTTCACTTATTTCTCTCTGACGTGCTCCCTTTTTTACATACATTTTAGTTTCTTACGTATATCATATTCCTTCGCCCTGAATAATTTTTATTATTTCTTAAAGGGGAGATGTACCGGCAATTAATTCCCTCAGTTTTTATTTAAAGAAGTTTTTCTGTTTTTGTTGTGAGACAAGAGTCTTTCTCTGTGGCCCAGGCTGGAGTGCAGTGGCATGATTATCCTGTCTCACTGCAATCTCTGCCTCCCAGGCTCAAGCAATTCTCCTGCCTCGGCCTCCTGAGTAGCTGGGACTACAGGTGCCCAGCGCAACACCCAGCTATTTTTTGCATTTTCTTTTAGTAGAGACGGGGTTTCACCATGTTGCCCAGTGTGGCCTTGAACTCCTGAGCTCACGCAATCCCAACTCACCTCAGCTTCTCAAAGTGCTAGGATTACAGGTGTCAGCCACTAAGCCAGGCCTTATTCTTTGAGTCTCGCTCTGTATCCCAGGTTGGAGTGCAGTGGAGCCACCTCCGTTGACCACAGCCTCCGCCACCCAGGTTCAAGCGATTCTCCTGCCTCAGCCCCTCAAGTAGCTGAGGCTACAGGCACATGCCACCATGCCCAGCTAATTTTTGTATTTTTAGGAGACGTAGAGTTTCGCCATGTTGGCCAGACTGGTCTTGAACTCCTGACCTCAGGTAATCCACCCACCTCAGCCTCCCAAAGTGTTGGGATTACAGGCGTGAGCCACTGTGCCCAAAGTCCATTCTTTTATTTTTAACCTATCTATCTGTGTTTCTACATTGAAAGTGTTTTTCTTACAGATAACATAATAAGGTCATTAGCCATTCTGACAGTCTCTACCTTTTTACTTGTTTAGTCTATTTACACAACAATTATTAATATGATTGTGTCGGGTCTACCAATTTTCTTTTTCTGTATTTTTCTCATCTTTTTTCTTTTCCTGATTTTTTTGGGACTAATTTTTGTATTCTAATTTATCAATGCTGTTAGCTTTGAGCCAATTCCTGATTTTTTTAAAAGTGGTTTCTCTGGAGTTTAGAACATGCACCATTAACTCAGCAGTCTTTAAGTAACATTGTATCACAAGCCTGGGAAGTTTAACACCTGAATGCTTCATCTTCCTGTCCTTTGTGCTACCCTTATTAAGTTTATTTCTACATGTTATACATTATTTTTTTTCTAAATCATCAGCTATCTTTGAAAGAAATGAAAAAGTATTTTTATCAACATACGTGCCATTTGCAGTGCTTTCCATACCTTAAGGTGTTGGGTTCTATCTGCGATCCTTTTCTTTTAATCTAAAGAGCTTCATATAATCTTTCTTACAGTGCAGATCTGGTGGTGATAAATCAATCCTCTGGTCTAAAAATATCTTTATTTTGTCTTAAGTATTCTTTTTTTATTTTTGAGATGGAATCTTGCTCTCATGCCCAGGCTGGAGTGCAGTGGTGCAATTTTGGGTCACTGTAACCTGCCAGGTTCAAGTGATTCTCCCGCCTCAGCCTCCCAAGTAGCTAGGATCACAGGCACACACCACCACGCCCAGATAATTTTTGTATTTTCAGTAGAGATGGGGTTTCGTCATGTTGGCCCTGCTGGTCTAGAACTCATGACTTCAAGTGATCTGCCAGCTTTGGCCTCCCGGAGTGCCGGGATTACAGGCGTGACCTACCACGCCTGGCCAGTTACATTACTCCTAATGACGAGTCAGTGCTCACTCTTACCTTTCATCCCTTGAATGTCATTAATTTGTTTGTAAGAGCTACTTTTTTTTCCCCCTTTTCTTGAGATAGGGTCTGACTCTGTCACCCAGGCTGGAATGCAGTGGCACGAACACAGCTCACCACAGCCTTTACCTCTCAGGCTGAGGTGATCCTCCTACCTCAGCCTCTCAAGTAGCTGTTGACTACAGGCAACCTCCACCAGGCCTGGCTAATTTTTTTAAAGAAAGGGTTTTGCCATGTTGCTCTTGAGCTGGTCTTGAATCCCTGGGCTGAGGCAATCCACCCATCTTGGCCTCCCAAAGCGCTAGGGTTACAGGCCTGAGCTACCACACCACACCTATTCTGGTTAGTTTTAAGACCTTTCTGTTTAACTATGGTTTTTACCTATTTGCTTATGACACGCTTTGGTGTGCTTTTCTCTATTATTTCTTCTGCTTATTCTTTCATCAGTAGTTTCTGGTAGCTTGCTGCGATGCATCCTGGTGTAGTTTTCTTTGTATTTATATTGTCTGGTATTTGCTGAGTTTCTTGGATCTGTGCCTTCATAATTTTGCTGAAAATTGGACAGTTCCCAGACATTATTTTTTCTTTTTTGCTTTCCCTTCTTCTCTGTGAATGTAATTATCTGTATGTTAGACTGCCTATAGCGTATCAAAGGACACTGAGGCCATGTTCAACTCCCTGTTGTTGTTCTTCAGCTTTTCCCTTACTGTGCTTCTACCACTGTCCCTTTTCCTGTGCAGTATATAATGTACTGTCAGGCTTACCATGAAAATCTCTTATTTCAGTTGTATTTTAATCTTTAGAAGCTCCGCTTGGTTCTCTGTTGTATCTTCCATTTATCTTCTATTTATGCTTTCCTTTAGGTCACATTAAGAGTTCTTCTTTGCCAATTCTACTGTCTCTGTCATTTCTGGATCTGTTTTTATTGCCTGATTTTTCTCCTGTACAGTTTTTGCTTCTTTGATGCCACATGATTTTCCATTAGATATCAGATATTGTGAATGTTACACTGTAAATGCCTGAATTTTCTTCTTTTTTGAGAGAGGGTTTTCTCTGTCACCCAGGCTTGAGCAGAGCAATATGATTGCAGCTTACTGCAGCCACAACCTCTTGGACTCAGGTGAGAGGAACAATAGGCACATGCCACCATGCCTGGCTAATTTTCCTATTTTGTGCAGAGACAGGGTTTCACCATGTTGCCCAGCCTGGTCTTGAGGTCTTGAGCTCAATTCTTTGCCTGCCTCAGCCTCCCACAGTGCTAGGATTACAGGTGTGAGCCACTGTGCCTGGCCTGGTGGATATTTCTGAAATGGGTCACTTACATGGCCATCAGCAGTCCTTGGTTTCTTACGTGGCAGCTTCCCCTATAAGGCTGCTTGAGTGTTCTCTTGACATGGCAGCTGGCTTCCTCCAGAGTGAGTAATTTGAGAAAAGGCAAAGTGGGGGCCTCGTCTTTTATGACCTAGTCTTAGAAATCACACACTTCCTACAATGTCCTATTGGATACACAGGGAAAACCCTATTCAATGCAGGAAGGGACAAAAAAAAAGTTGTGATTACCAGGAGGCAAGAATCACTGGGGGCCACTTTGGAGCCTAGTGGACACAATGAGTAAACTTTTACTACATATAAATAAGGAAATGACAGAAAAATAATAATTTTGCTTCTGAAAAAAATTTTCTAAAAAAAAAATATATATATATACATACACACACACACACACACACACACATATATGTATATATTTGTTCAAATTCCCAAGTTATTTCATTCTGCCAAAAAAGGAATTTTCAGCTTTATAGTTCATGTTATTATACTCCATAGATTGGAAAGGGGAGATATTTATTTAGTAAGTTGGAGAGTATAAATTAATTTCTTACCAACCACCATCAGTGTGAACTCAAAACCTTTTTTCACTGATTTTCGGTGAACTTGATTGGGGAGATTTGCAAATCCAACATAGCCAGGAGTTTCTGGATTTATAAACTGAGCTGGTTGTTGCTAAATAAGATTGGGGAAAAAAAAAAAAAAAAAACAACTAATAAACACCTTAGTAGTTGCTTTTAAGATATAATCATTTAGACATGAAACAAACATAGGTATCAGCAGTTTTCACAAATTTAACGTATGGATAAATTAACAATTTACAAAGTCATACTTCTATCAGAAAACCAGCAGCATTCAATTAGAAGCATTAGAAAAAGAAAAACTAATGAATAACTCCTCAGCTATATGCTGACTGGAAATTAACATTTTGTTAATCAGTATTCTGTTTAGCAATTTAACAATACATAGAAGATACATGTTTAATTCATCTTAGTGCAATTTCAAATTTTGACTTGACAGACTATCTATGAAGTTCCAGGAATATCAGTCAAGCTTACCAAGTACTGCTACAGCTGACAGTGCTTTGAATGAATGGTTTCATTCAACAAACTTGGCTAAAGAATAGCTTCCACCAGTATTAGGTGAGATGCATTTATGAAAAGTATCCAGGAAAAAGGCATCTCTCTTGTTACACTTCTAGCTCTACAGAACAGAGTTTCACCAAGGGTGAGGCAGGCGAATTAAACGTGGGATGTTGAGTATCTAGCTTCTAAGACCAAGAAAGAAAAGACAGACAGAGAAGATGACAGCTGACTACACTGAAGCATCAACATTCCTTGATACAAGGGTATGTGATGAGAGAGGACAGCAATGTGAGAAGGCAAGAACAGCAGAAGTGAAATCACAACGCAGACGGTGGCTGCTGAGAATGAGAAGTAGTTTAAAAATCTATTTATTAATTTTGAAAAAGGTGAGATATAAAATATTTCCTTCAAGATTACATTTTGTAAATGTACATTCATATGTACACACAGGTGAAAAATAATATATGTAACATATTAACAGTGGTTATTTTTGAGTGGTGAAATGGCAATTTTTTTTTTTTGCTTATCCATGTGCCACGCTAGCACTTGTATAAAATGCAAAAACTGGTATAATTTTGCGTTGATGAATACCCATAGGACTCAAAGATTAAAAAATCAGAGAAATAATAATCTTGCAATGTTAACCACGAGTTCTGCTTTTCTCAGAATACGTTCTATAGAACTCATTTATCTCTGAGCTAACTTGCAAGGGCTGATTTAAACCAATTTATCAAGTCTAAGGGCCCCATCAATTTCATAATAATAAATTATTAGAATTCTAAATTATCTGGTCTGCTGGGAATTAACTGAGGGGGCTAAAAAGACTGTTACTGATGTGTGTAGTAAAAAGAGAGTAGAAGCCTGAAAAAAGAGAAAGCTCCAACTTTTTAAGATGACAATTAGGCCAGATTTGGTGGCTCATGCCTGTAATCACAGCATTTTGGGAGGGTGAGGCGGGCAGATCACTAGGTCAGGAGATCGAGACCATCCTGGCCAACATGGTGAAACCCTGCCTCTACTAAAATACAAACAATCAGCCAAGTGTGGTGGCACGCAGTCCCAGCCACTCGGGAAGCTGCGGCAGGGGAATCAACTGAACCCGAGAAGCGGATGTTTCAGTGAGCCGAGATGGCGACTTCGTCTCCAAAAAAAAAAGATGACAATTAAATTAGAACTCTTTGTCTTAATGAATCAAATATATCAGTTGTATTAAAAATACTCATATAAATCCTGTCGTCAGTCTGAAAACATATAGCAATTTCTCCTCATGCTGTAGACACATGAAGTATGATCTTACCTTAGACATCTTGTGAAGTTTCGTCTGTCAAAAAAAAACACACAGACACACATAAACGCACATACATAGTATGTATGTATACGCACGCATATTTAACAGCATGAACTGACCTGTAAAAAGACTTACACATAGGCAATGTAAAAAGAAAATACAATTTCAGGACCTTACAAATTTATTATGCCAAAGGGAAAAGTTAAGCACTGAAAGCCAACTCATGTAATCCGACTACTTTTATTCTTTCCAACTTTTGTGTTTAGATTTTATACATTAACCAGACTCCCTATACTTTATTCAAACCTAGCCTAAATGACTAGTCAATAGAGATCCTTATGACTGTTACTTCTTTTCAAAAGAAAGTTAAACAAACCCCTTCATGTGTAATCAACAGCAGCCAATCAAATTTGTATCTTTAAGTGACCCTCAGGACAGAAAATGTAATTCTGTTTGGTACCTCCATTTTGCCTATATAAACAGTCCTCATTTTTCCCAACCCCGGGCGTACTAATCACCATTCTTTGGTGCAGTTCTTTTCCCTAGACAGCAGCCCTCACACTTTGAACTTAAATGAATTCTTTTAACTGAATCAGGAGACTTTTGATTATTTTAGATGACAGCATCTCAATTACTTCAAATATTTCCCTAGGAATAAAACAATCACCTATTACAAAAGTAAATTTGATTTAAAAAATTAGGCTGGGTGCAGTGCTCACGCCTGTAATCCCAGCACTTTGGGAGGCCGAGGCCAGCATGGTGAAATTCCATCTCTACTAAAAACACAAAAATTAGCCAGGCATGGTGGTGCACGCCTGTGATCCCAGCTACTGAGGAGGCTGAGGCAGGAGTATCGCTTGAACCTGGGAGGCAAGATTGCAGTGAGATGAAATCACTCCAACCTAGGAGACAGAGCGACACTTCATCTCAAAAAACAAACAAATAAACAAAATAAAACAAATGGTGGCTGGGTGCAGTGGCGCATGCCTGTAATTCCAGCACTTTGGGAAGCAGAGGCAGGAGGGCTGCTGGAAGCCAGGAATCTGACACCAGTCTGGGCAACATAGCAAAACCCTGTCTCTACAAAAAAATTTAAAAATTTTCAAAAATTTTAAGTGGATAAAAGCCACTGTATATATAAACGTACATACATATTCCATATTTTCAATAATATTCAAATACTTTTTCAGTACTGATTATATGTTAGACCCTAGGGACACACATGGGATGCTCACTACCCTGATCTCTGCAATTATGTAATTCCCCTTCTCTCTTTGAACCCCTTCAAAGAGGAAGGGATGCCATTACACAGAGCACTGTAACCTTAACATGTCTGCCATTCACTGAGATTCCTAGAGCTCCATGGGAACTAGGCCTTGACACTGGGGTACAGGATACAACGTAAACTACATTTACGAGGAAGGGAAATAGGACTGAAGGCATCTCAGTTTGAGAAATATAACAGTAGTTTTAGAGATATGTGTAATTTTCATAGAAATTTTAGAAACCATGAAGCTTTGGAAAGCATGGAGTCTGTTGGCTAACCTTCGGTAACACAAGGAAAGATAACTGACTACTGTCAAATTTTATTCCCTCTGGAGCTTAGAAACATTAAAAAGCTTCTCTCACTTTGCCTTTCGATTCCCATCCCCCAAATCTTAACTTCCTGAATGCTGTGTACTCTGTGTTTCCCTTTTGACTGGAAATGTTCCCTACTACCTTGGAAGAAATGAGATCCCTGCATCCTCAACGTCACTTGGCTTGGTAAACCAAGGGATGGTAGCAAGATTCATGAGCCTTTAACCTCAGCAAAACCTAAGAGTTGAGGTCAAGTGTGAGTGTGGAGGAGGAGAACTTCCTAAAGGGAAAAAGAAGGGTCAGATGGAATACAGACACTTTTGGCAGAAGGATTTGGCATCTTGTTTTCAAATAACACAGAGGTAAGTATCTGATTATGGAAGTTAAAAAAGAAAAAAAAAAAGGTAATAAAATAACAAGGAAAATTTCCAAATTAAGAGAAAAACATGGAGAAAACAGAAACTTCATCAAACCAGCAAAAATACAGAAAAAGAACAAGAAGAAACAAAATCAGTTGTAATCCTAAATCAAGGCAACAGGGACAAAATTCAAGAATATCAGTCATCAGTATAAATGGGAAATAACCAAATTCTCTGCTTAAAAGATTGGGCTAAAAAATCCCCAAAAACCAAAAAACAGCCCTGCTATAAGGTATGTGGAAGAAATATGCCTTAAACAAAGGAAGAAACAAAGGCTGAAAATGAAGGGACAAGGTAAAAGATGTCAGGCTAGTGCCAACACAGAGGAGAGACATCACCACTGTCAGCCAAGATAGGAATTAAAGTAAAAAGAACTAAGCAGAATAACAGGGACAACAAATTATAACGATAAAAGAAACAATTTATAGGGAAATTATAATATCCATAAGCCTATATATTCAAATAATCACTATAAATAAAGCAAGAACTAGAAAAAATACAAAGTTAAGAAAAATACAATCCAAGTGAGAAACTTTAATAGATGTTTCTGAGAATTGAACATTCAGTAAACACAGTATGTGCAAGGACAGAGAAGAACTGAGCAATACAACCAATAAATTTGATTCAGGAGACATAAAGAAACTTGAATCCATAAGGAGAAAACTTTAAAAAAAAAGTTTAAAAGTCACGTATCAGGCTGGGCACGGTGGCTCAAGCCTGTAATCCCAGCACTTTGGGAAGCTGAGGCAGGAGGAACACTTGAGTTCAGGAGTTCAAGATCAGCCTGGGCAACATGGCAAATCACTGTCTCCACAAAAAAAATACAAAAACATTAGCTAGGTGTGGTGGCGGACACATGTAGTCCCAGCTAAGTGAGAGACTGAGGTGGGAGGATCCCTTGAGCCCAGGAGGTAAAGGGTGTAGTGAGCCGAAATGGCGCCACTGCGAGACTGTCTTTAAAAAAAAAAGAAAAACTCCTTAAATCTAATTCAGAATATTTGTCTGAAAAGCTATTGCAAATGTCATTCTCTAAACAATGGAAAACCAAATCTATTTAAATTACAACTGATATTAGACAGGAATGTCCTTCCATAATTATTTTAAAACACTTACATGAAAACTTATACTTGAAGACCTATACAAAAGCAAACAAAACCCCCATGTGCCGTCCATTATCCAGCTTCAACAATTAGCAACTCAAGGTCAATAATGTTTCATCTATTTCCATAATCATCAATGCCACTGCCTGGAGGATTATGAAGCAAAATCTATGCATATCTAAAAATAAGGGCTCCTAAAAATGACACACCATTATCCACAGCTAGTTCTTTAATGCAATCAAATATCCAATCAGTATTCATATTCTCCATTCTCTCATTTCTTCCTTGAATCAAGATCCAAATAAGACCTAGATACTGCAATTTCACCATGATTATGTAATACTACCTTGGTGTGTTTATGGAATGTAATGAAAAGAAGATGAAAACAAAATGCTTTTTGCTGATTGGACTGAATACACAGAAAACACAAATACTCTGGTTGAAAGAATTCTAGAATAAGGTAATTTAGTAAGGTAGCTTAATATAAGATTTCAAGTAAGTCAAGTACTAGCACTGAATATTGAGGAATAGAAATGGAGGCACATCATTTACAATAGAATTTTAAAAAATCCAGGAGCTGGGCTCCGTGGCTCCTGCCTATAATCCCAGCACTTTGGGAGGCGGATCATTTGCGTTCAGGAGTTCAAGACCAGCCTGGCCAACATGGATAAACCCCATCTCTACTAAAAATACAAAATTAGCCAGGCGTGGTGGTGCATGCCTGTAATCCTGGCTACTTGGGAGGCTGACAGAGGAGAAATACTTGAACCCAGGAAGCGGAGGCTGTGTGGAGCCGATGGCACGCCACTGCACTCTAGCTTGCGTAACAAAAGCAAAATACTTTGTCCAAAAAAAAAAAAAAAAAAATCCAAACAAGAAGGGACCAAACTAGAAGAGAGAAAACAGGTCCTACATAAATCATTTTTATTTTTATTTTCCCCAAATTAGCATGTAATTTGATCCATTTCTAGGTGGAATCCCTAATGGTGTGGCTTTTTTCTTAAAGGACTGGATAAAACGAGAGTCAGGTTCACATGGAAGCATAAATGCCAATGCCGAGGACAGAAAAGAGCAGGCACTTGCCTTACCACCTATTACATATGTCTGATTTCAAACCCACACAGTACAACATAGGAGTATCATAAAGCACTTCCAAAGGCCCCCTCGGCCTCACTGAACCCTGAGCACACATACGGGAAAATGGAGACACCATTTGTCTCAGACTGACATTTCAACTTTGCTCTGATTTTACCAAGTTTCTCCTGCCATCTCCTATTTTTTTTTTTTCTGAAACATAATATGGATCCACAATACGGATCCACAATTATTTTCTCCAATAATTTATTAACTAATGTGAAATGGAAGGTGAAAGAGGAATAATGAACCTCTGAAGCACATGGTTTTCAGTGAGAAAGCCTTCATCTAGCAACACAAGCTGTCAAGCACTGTGATTAAACTTAAACACTGGGTGCAGACAAATTGGGTCAAAAACGCAGTCAAATAAAAATTTTATTCCTTCAGATCGTGTTTGTTCCACATGCCAGAAGTTGTTTAAAGCACAACTTACTTCTTCCACAGAATAGTCCCATTTCAATACACAAAAAAAAACTATTTTCCAAAACAAAGAAGATGAAGAACATCCTGCGATGTAGAACCCTGAAGGTCCATATCTCTTATTCAAAGCATTTGGTTCTTTGGGTTTGAGGAAGGTACATGTTCAGAATAACCACAGAACACTCTTAACAGGGACTGGGGCAGGGATCAGTGGCATGTATGACCACTAACAGAAAGTGGAATAAATAGGCTATACACATGTCCTCACCTCAATTCTGCTGCCAAATGAGTTTTGGTGTCCCTCTTCCTCCAGAAAAAAAAAAAAAGTACCCGTAACTTTTTCTTTTACAGCAGTTTCCGTATGATGGTATTGGGAATAAAAAGGGACCCTGAGTTACATTTATGAATGATAGGAGAACCGCTGACCTCTTTCCCTAGGTCACCTTGTTAGTTTAGGAGCCAGTCAGAATGTAAATCTGATCTAATTAAAATGCTTTTGTTCTTTATTCTGCACTGGTGAGAGAGATCAAGGTGGAAGTTGGGAAAAAAAAAAATCAGGACCACCTTTACAGCTAATGAGATCAACGCCAAGATTAGACATAATAGTACACAGCATGAACTAGGATGCTGGGTGGTGCAAAGAATCACTTAACGGAAGCTATCAAAAATAAACGAAAGCAATGAAGCTCAAATCATAATTATCAAGTAGAAGCTTTCATGACCCCTACACCAAATTTTCTTTATGACAGCAAAGCTACTTTGAAACATGATGCCTGCAGGCATTATGACTCGAATCATTAAAAAAATAGTGGAGAACCTACCAGGTGCTGGTCACCGACCTAGGCAAGGGGATGGGGGACAAGATTAACATGTGCCCTGCCCATCGCAGGGCCAATAGGCTAGTGGACTACCATCCGCAACATCAGTCAAACGCCCAAGCCAGTCTGGAGGCAATCTAACTTGGGCAGAATCCCACAAGCAGGGACTAGGTAAGGGGAAGGCGGAGAAGATGGGAGGCATGCAGACTTAGGGAAGGGTTTGGGCAGTGGCCAAACATGAAGAAGTTTCAAGCACAAGCCCAGTGTAGCTGGGTCATGTGTTTGCGTGGAGAGAGGACAGGGTCTGGCGGTATTGCACGCCAGGTGTCGTCTGGGCCTGCAGGCCACGTCACAGTTGGGACTTCACTGAGAGCACAGGTTTGCATTCTCAACCCCCGCCCAACTCAGCGGCCTCCCACCCCGTACCCTACCCCCTGCTGTGTCCGTGCCTCGCTGGTGCAGCCCTCCGCCGCCTCTCCACGCCGAAAGTACGCGCAGGCGAGGCCTAGTCGCTCTCTCCCGCTTACTCGCCGCGTCCAGCCGAAGGGCTTGGAGGATGAGGGGCCGGCCTGTCCTCCACGCCCCCGGGAGGAAATGGCACCGTCAGAAAGACAAGATGGCCACACAAGCCGTTAGGTGCTCGTCGGGCCTGAACCTGCAACCTCGCTCCGTGCATCAACCCTCCCGGCCTCGACGGCACTGGACGCCTCGAGGCCCAGTGCCAACGACCGTGCAGTGGCACTCCCGCAGGGTCACCACGGGGACCCCGGGATCCCCGCTCCCGCGCCAAGCCCTGCCCATGTCAGAGCCACTAGTTGCCGGCACTAGGGCCGCCCCGGATGGAGGAGCCCACGCGGGGGCCGAAGAGCCCGGCCCGGCCGCCCCTCCCCCACCACGCCCCGCCGGCGCCCCGACAAGGCCGACCTCCGCGCGAGAGTATGGGACGAACGGGGCGTCTCCCGCACCTCCTGGGGGAGCCGACCCACAACTTGTGCCCCCGCCGCCGCGGGGAACACCGGCGAGAGACTCACCCGCCACCCAGCGAGAAAACAGGCGCCGATAGACCGCGCCACGGACCCGCCCAGCGCCCGCGGCCGGCTCACCCCGCCCCGCCAGCGCGCAGGCGGATTGCGTCACGCGTCGCCCCGCCCCTTTGCCAACTCCTTCCTGGCTCCGCGCAGCTCAGCCTTCTTCCCCTCCCCCGTGCGGCCGGCTTCCGAGTGCGCAGGCCCAGACTCGTCCGCGTTGTCCGCCTCTGCGCAAGCGCCGTGCTCCTCCCACGGCGGTTGGCCATATAGAGGCTGGGGGTGGGGGGAGGTCAAGCGTACCCTCTTTTCCTTTACCAAGATGGCGGCTTGCCCCTGTTTCGCCACAGTTCCTACCTTATGAGCTTGGTTTTCCTATGCTAATAAGAGTGGAACAGGTAATGAGAATCTTCGCCTTGCAGTGGGTAACTGGCATGGGGGGAAGGGCGTTTGTTAGGACGAGCCAGGTGCCCACTGAGGAGGGGAGAGGCGGTTGGGGGAGGGCAGGTGGTGGCGGGAGTGCGGAGCGATCACGGGGAAGGGGAGCCTCCGCTTCTGCTCCTGGCCTCCAGGAAGACGGCGGCAGCACCGAGCCGGGGCGCCAGGCGGTCTGGGCGGAGGAGGCGAGCGGCCGCGAGAGGCTGGTCTAGCCCGCGGCTGCCGCCGTCTCGGTGACCGGGGCCTCTCCGCGATTGGCTGCACGCAGGCCACGTGGGGCCGACGGCGCTGCGCAGACCATCGAGTCGGCGTCCCTCCCCGGGGACGTGGCCTTCCTGTGCCCGGGCTGGGGCCCGCCGCCCCGCGGGGGAGGGCGGAGCTGGCGCGGCCCCTAGCTTTCTCCTGGTGTGGGGCCCGAGGTGAGACCTGGGGAGAGCTCCGCGAGCCTACGAGCAGCGACGTGGCTCGGGGACGGGAGGGCGCCGTTCCTGGCTGCGGCCTGAGCGGGATGGGCGCGGGCGGCTCCGGCCCGCGGGTTGTGCCCCGGCCCGGGGTGTCCTTTCCTCCCTCCCGCGTGGCCTGGAGGCTCAGCAGTTGTCCGAGACTCACAGCAAGGCTCGGCGCAAAGACCCCTCGTTCAGGAAGCCTTCCTAGGTTTCTCCCCTTTAAGGGAAATACTTTCTGAGTTCCCAATGGCTGACCCGCCTGGTGTTGGGAACCTGAGCTGTTCTGACACCGTGGCGTGTTGCGAGGGTATTTTTGTGGTGGCTCCTTTGGAAAGTGGTAAGGCGCTCAGGGCTAGCTGCTGCGTATCCTCTCTACTCCACTTAGGAAATGAGAGGTCGGACTGGACGTGGTGTTTGGACGCCATGTAAAACCGAAGGAGGCCGACTTGCGCTTTGCTTTATTGAACAGTGCTTATAGTCAAAGGAAGCGTTTGGAAGAATGTGGATGAGTCGTAATCTTCGGGAACGTGACGATTTGCCCCTCAGTTGTGCATTTTGCTGTGTGTCCTCAGATTCACAGCAACCCTATACCCTCACCCTCAAACAGTGACTTCACATTTGTTTGATGCCTGCTTAAGGATAATCAGTCATTTTCTTAGCAGGTAACTTCCTTAAAACCCTATTAATTTAGGATAAGTCGGGCCGGCCGCGGTGGCTCACGCCTGTAATCCCAGCACTTTGGGAGGCGGAGGCGGGTGGATCGCGAGGTCAAGAGATCGAGACCATCCTGGTCAACATGGTGAAACCCCGTCTCTACTAAAACTACAAAACATTAGCTGGGCATGGTGGCGCGTGCCTGTAATCCCAGCTACTCAGGAGGTTGAGGCAGGAGAATTGCTTGAACCCAGGAGAGGGAGGTTGCGGTGAGCCGAGATCGTGCCATTGCACTCCAGCCTGGGTAACAAGAGCGAAACTCTGTCTCAAAAAAAAAATAGGATAAGTCACAATTAGGATTTTGTCTAAGGCTCCCGGTAGTGGCACCTTGCATAATAAGCTTACTGTTCATTTAGGGAAGCAAATCTGGGATGCTGAAAAACTGGATGAAACCTAGTGCTTATATTTATATTTTGATTTTTTGACAGCTGGATGTGCCCCTAGGCTAAATTCATTAAGTACACATGATGTTAGGATACTTAGCAGCAGTATTTAAAAGTAGTTCAAAAGGTGTTTGGTTAAGAATTATTTCCATCATTTGAATTATCGAATCTCTGGGTCTGAAATGTCAACCTGTTGAGTTTTAGACTTGGAGAAAATGGAGCTGGAGCCTATTTCCTGAAGTCTCAGGTACAGCATTTGAAACCCAGTTAAATAATGCATCGTGAGGATTAAACTTTCCTGTTACTACTGTTAGGTTTGCTTGGTGCCAAGTGCTGTTGAAAGGACTTAGCTCATCTTATCATGTGTCAAATTAACGTCATTGGGGTAAAAGTACATTGAGTGTAAGGAGAGCACCTCTAAGATGTAGCTGACCTGTGTCCCGTCCCTCAGCGCCATTAAGCTTAATTGAATCCCTGTTACAGTGTCACATCCAGTGGGCAACGCTAACTTCTTAGTGGCCTGGTGAGAGAATTTCTTCTTGAGCAATTAAGTATTTTACCTGGTTTTGTTGTTTTGGCCTTCCCGTTGTCTAGCTTCAGCCTCATGGCCTCACTTCTTCATTTCAATTCAAAAAAATATTTGCTGGAAATTGCTGTGTAAGCTTAAGGGCTCTGCGGATACAAAGGTTAAGAGGATATCGAGTTTTCAGCCAGGCGTGGTAGCTCATGATTGTAGTCCCAGCACGGGAGGCCGTGGCAGGCGGATCACTTGAGGTCAGGAGTTCGAGACCAGGCTGAGCAACATGGTGAACCCCCGTCTTTACATAAAAATAAAAGTATTAGCCGAGCATGGTGGTGCACGCCTGTAATCCCAGCTACACACTAGGTTCAGGCACGAAAATCAAGAATCGCTTAAACCCAGGAGGCGGAGGTTGCAGTGATGAACCAAGATTGCACCACTGCACTCCAGCCTGGGCGACAGAGTGAGACTCCGTCTTAAAAAAAAAACAAACAAACAAACAGAAAAACCCAAGAGGATATAGACTTCTTTTCGTCAAGCAGTTTGTGGTCTGATGTGGGAGACTCATTTGTCATTTGTAGACGAGTAATTGCATTATGGTGTGATAGAAATACGTCTAAGGTGTGGACATAGGAAATAGGCTGTGATTACCTGTTGGAAAGTCTTCAGATAGAATGTGATCCTTGAACTGGGGTTTAAAAGATGAGTAAGAGTTTTTCCCGGTGCTGCTGGGAGGAGACGGGAAGACTAGGAAAGAGGAGGCTGATGTTCATAGTTGGTTGTAGCTGGTTTCATATGTGGGCAACAGGTTGACAATTTGTTATACTCTTGCCATTGCAAATGGTAAAGGGCTTGGCTCAGACCGTGTAGTGAAGGGCATTTATCTAAGATACTCTGACCCCCACAGAATTTGAGATAATGACACTGAGTCCACTAGGATAACTTAGGATCTTTCATGGGTCATTGGATTCTCCATTAGTGCGTCGCAATTGAAATTTATTTACAGAAAGGATTGAGCAGAGAACATGCTTTATGAAGTACCAAGTGGTTTTTCTATTTGGCATGGCCCGTTCAGTGTGCGTGCATCCCATAGGCAAATGGTGGTAAGAAAGCAAGCTCTGGAAGAAGCATACCACGCAGCTTTCTCAGTTGCCAAATTATGATGATACAAAAGTCCAAAATACATGTAAAGGTTTTTGACCAAGTGGAAAAGCAGAGGACCTCAACCAGTATAATGCTTTTTTCCTTAAATTGGAAAAGCACCACAACATTCAACATTTGGAAACCGAGGAAATAATGAAAAGAACCTTTTTTCATTTGTATAATATTTTAAAAATTGGTTACATGTTATTTTTCAGTATTTCTAAAGTCAGAGACATTTTAGAAGTGAACTCCCTAGTAGGCTGTTGTTTTACCAAGCACACCGAAGTTCCTGGAATACGGAGACATTTGTTCTGAGACCTGTCTGGACGTCGTGTCGTTGTGTTAGTCATCTTGTTGGTACTTGCTATTAATTTGGTAACAATACGTTGACTGCATACTCTCCCTTACTACTTTTTATTAGCATTCATGTTAATCTTATTTCAAATCAAGGTTATATCTTAATGTAATTTCTAGAGTCAGATATTCCTAGAAAGGCTTGTAAGGAAAAAGCGCTGCTGTCCTTCCGCTAGTCGCCTGCCCTCCCCTGCGGAGTATCTTCTTTAGCCTCAGTAGGTTTCCTTGATCTTTGCCTCCAACGCTGAAGAGCATATTTGCCTGATACCTGTATCTGTGCCCCCTCCCCGTTTCATGTGGCATCTCTTCACTTGACACTGAGAATAGGTAGAAAGTTCCTAGCTTTCTTTCACCCTCTGCCTTCTCTGTGCAAACAGATCCATGGCTGCCCAAAGTGATATATTACTAATTTGGTCAGTTCAGTATTATTTTATGACTACATATTGCCGTTCACAGCTGGGCAACGTGGTGTAATAGGGTTGTTTTCCCTTTTCTGGATAACTTTGTTTTCCTGGTTATCACAAGTCTCATTTGTTTTTGTTTGCTTCCTGCCTGCTCAGTTTTCTGTATTTTATCACTACAATTCAACCTCAAATTCTGCACCAATTGTCTAAATCTCCTTTCAAGAAATTGTCTGTTCTTTTGATGAAAATTAGTATTCCTATCATTTTATCTTGAATAAATCTCTTCCAACACTTCCAACCTGCTGCAGGCGTGTCTGTGCCTAGAATCTTCCTGTAAATTTCATTACTCCCTCTTGTGTTGGAGTCTCAGCTTTCTGGAACCCAAGTCATTCTCTTGATTTTCCTGTCTCACTTTCATGGAGCACATTCTTCAGCAGTTGCCTGAGAAGGGCACGACAGATGAAGTTTGAAGAATGTGTATGTATGAAAGTGCTTTATTCTGCTCTTATACTTGAGTAGGAGTTTGGACAGCATTTTGCTCCACTGTCTTTAAGCTTCTAGTGTTGTTGAAGTCTTAAGCCCTTCTGATTCGTTTTTCTTTTTATTGATATGCAACATTTTTAGAGCTTTTGTGTGACTATGTTTTCCTCCATGAAGCTTAAAGGCTTTTCTTTCTGTTTCCTTTCTTTTGTTTAATACACAGTGTCTTGCTCTGTTGCCCAGGCTGGAGTGCAGTGGCACTGTCATAGTTCACAGTGGCTGTGATCTCCTGGGCTCGAGTGATGCTCTTGCCTCCCAAGTACCTGAGACAGCAGGCATGCACCACTACACCCAGATAATTTTTAAAACTTTTTGTAGACATGAGCTCTCAATGTTGCCCAGGCTTGTCTTGAACTCCTGGCCTCAAGTGATTCTCCTGCCTCAGACACAGTGCTGGGAGTGAAGGCTTTGCATCTGGCCTCAGAGGCTTTTCTTTCTGTGAAACTCAGAACTCCC